TGACCTTGAACACTGCCAGGGATGGGGCAGCCACAACTTCTCCGGGCAACCTGTTCTCTAAGTGGGCATAGAGAGGTCATGAACAAGGCATGGGTTGAATTAGTTAAGATACAGTCCTCAATACATACATAGAACAATATTTTGAGGGTAAAACACCTCTCAATCATACTTCTGCAGGTATATCAAGTTCAACAAATGATAAGAAACATCTGCTGAGTGTTGTCTTGCAGGAGAAAAATATGAACTGCATTTCATGACAGAAGAAACTTTAACAGTTTAACGGTACCCTTCCCTATGCTAAAATCTTATTCCAGTCTTATTCCAGGCTGGTATACAACTAACGCATTTTTAAAAACATCCGGTTTGGATTCTGTATCTTCTTTCTGAGGAACATAGAGCCATATCGTGTCTTTGTGATCAGGCAGTGTTTCTTCTAACTAGAGACTGCACTGAAGTCTAGAAATGCTGTACTGTTGTTCATAGCTCACTGGAATACTCTTTTGTGCCTTATATTTATTAATGAATGTCCCAAAAGACAGGCAGCTTTCTACAAGTGCCTAGAAGCAAATCAATCTAGCAGCCTGCAGATTACACATGACAATAGCCTTTGTTAGCATAATGTATAATAATGCATTATGTAGTGGGCCTCTGAGGCTTAGTAATCCCTGTCAGCAGGCAGAATAAATGGAAATAGCTTCCAGGAGATGCTGAGCCTATGACAAGAGAGTTAGTTTTCAAGAACGACTAGCATTCAAACTCACACACGCCGCTTCTGAAACAAACTCTCATGAACAGCCGTTCGTTGTTGTGAAAGTCAAATGCATGAAGTGTACTTGAGAAAAGAGATTAAAGAGAAGTTGGACTGAGCACTAGCAGTTTGGTGCTTTCCCTGCTGAAACAAAGTTTGGTGCATTTTCTCAGGCTTGTCAACGACAGAAGTTTTTGACATTCAACCTTTTAATATGCCTAGACACCGAATTTGCTAGCTGAGAATAGCAAGGTTCCACATGAAAGTAAGCATACCTGCTTATGGAGAGTGTCTAGCCACAAGTGAGAGGGTTTTTTTTTACTTTTTTAATGCACAACTGGATGGCAAAAAAAAAATATCATTACTATTAGATGTTTTGTATGCGCAACGTAATGCTGCATGGGTTGAAAGTGCACCACAGTTACTGAACTCCTGCAGCTGTAACTGCCTGTAGCTCAGACGATGCCGCTGGGGAAGGGCACTTCTTAACTCTGCACTTGCCCTGCTCTTTGTGCCCTTTCCTTAGGCAAACCTCCTGTGACCTTTAGCAGGGAGACGCTATTAGTCTGGCTGGAGCGTTGGTCTGATCTAGTACAGCTGTACTGATTTTCTTATGCTGCTGTAAATTATTGACATACTCAATAAAGTCCTTCAAATTTTACTACTGTAGATCGGTTAAAGACACATTACCCAATAGCACAACCCTTCAGATCTGTTCAAATGATTAAAACACTTCCAGAAATGCTTAGGCTACTGTAGTTTATATAGAGATAACACCACCGTGATAAATACTACTGTCTTTACTCAGGCCTGCAGATTCCCTGCAGTGTTCCACTCTCCTGTTTATATCTTCATTTTTTCCTGTATTTTTAAAGCGCTCATTGCTGCTCAGTTGAAGTTCCATTTAAGTGATCAAAAGCTTTAACAAAACTATCTTTTAGTATCATGCTGTACTCATACTATAACAGACAATCAAATCAACTCTGTTGCTAGCAAAATCCTTACTCCCAAGGCATTAAAACGCTTCAGCCTCAGCAAAAATTACAAGTGCAATATTCATTACTGCATATAGCCATTGCAGCCAACTGCAATTGCAACCTGAAGCTGCAGAGCCATTACACATGCTTGCTGCAAGCCTGTGCAGAAACTGTTACTGTTTGGTCTTCACCTCTTGATTAGATTAAATGAGGGTATAACTGTAACCCTACTGAAGCCTGTTTATTCTATTTTTAGCCTTGCAGACACACACAGAAAGACATAAGGGGGAAACAAGCTTTCTTTTAACTAAAAGAAAGATAGGAGACGTACTATAGGTAAATCTATTTCCTAAAATCTTTGCTGAGTAGATCGCATCAAGGTGTGTGTGCCACACTCCCTGTTTCACTGGACTACTTGCATTGTTTAATCCATTACCATCTTCTCCAGCCTCCTTTCTGATCAGTCTTCATCCTTTACCAAGGTAACCACAAACATCATACAGACCACTCAACATCACAAAAAAGCTAAGACTTCATCCTATTTTCAGTATACCTCATCTGTAATAGTATTGGTAGCCAAGGTAGCTTCCCATCTTTGCAGGTTTAGTGTTACTGTTTTCTTGGAGTAGAACCTGGTGGGTTTTTTTCCCTACTGCATTTTGAGCTTGTCTTTGAAATAATACGGAAACTTCCCAAGCTGCAGGCACTCTAAAAGTTAAATTGCAGAGGGCTTCCATCATGCAAAGCGTTAATTTATTTTCCTGCAGCTTATTTCCCTCCGGGCAATGAGAATATCATCTGCTCATAAGATGACAGAGAGGAATCTCTTTGCAAAACGAAACTAGTTACCAATATTGCAACCGAAAGATGGAAACATACTGAGACAGAAATAGAAGGTCCTTCTGCTGCCATGCCTCACCTCCTCAAACTGCTTATTCTTGAGCTTAGCAATCACTGCTGTCTTTACCCACCAGCTGCTATAAAACGTGCTCTTTGAAGCCATTTATCAGCACTGTCTCTTTTCTATCAGAGGAGCAGAGAACACTGCAGTTTGCAACAGCTGAGGAGGAATGACTGCATGCCACCTGGGTATAAGTCATTACCCCTGGTTTGCAAACCAACCTTCCTCCCATAGTAGCTGGATGGAGATTGAGTCTGTTCTTATTAAAGCCCCAAAAAAACCTTTCACTTTAAGGAGAATGGGATTGAGAGCAATGCTTTTTGGTCACTTATTTGCTTGCCTCTCTAACCATGTTAGAATATTCTTTCGAACAACTGCTGAAGAAGGAAAGACTGCTCTATTTGCCTTTTGCTAGCAGTGGGCAGACGCTGCTGTTAGCGTAAACGTATGGAATCTTGCAGCACCAGTAACTAGACTGCTCAGCAGGAAACTAATGGCATTGTGCACTACAAGCAGCGCAAAGGTCTTTGCTTTCATGAAAACAGCAAATTATAATTGAAGGGTGGATATCTTTGCATCTTATTTTGTTTATTGGACTTGGAAGAAAGATTTGACAAAATATGCCCTGTATGGTTGCTTTACAGGTCATTTGCAGTAAGAGTATACGTTGCTGCAGTCTGCCTAATGGTGTCTGCAACAATGAAAGAATTCTCTCTGTCACTGTGCAGTTACTTTTTAACAACTGGATTCTCAACCACACAACCTTCTGTGCTCTAGGTTGTCCTCTTTATTTCAGATGTACCCTGTACAAGTAGTTTGACAGGGAGGAAAAAGTGCTGGCTAAAGCAGATAAAAATCCATGCTCAGTTCATTTGTCTTCTACTCTGAGCGTCCTCCACTTACTATTCTCTGTATAGGTGATGGAGATACACTGCAAGACAGCACCAAATTAGTCAAGTAAAAATTTCAATTGTGAAAAATAAATAGTGGTTCCTACCCTAAGAAGTGGAGAAGAAGATAGAAGATGAGCCTTTTTGCAGGAAGGTGAAATGTTTTTTTTACCGTACAGGTGGTCAGAATGCAAGACCTCCCACAGGACACTCGGTCACAGGCCTTGGGAAACTTCTGTGGTCTGGGTACATGGCTAAACAGAAAGGACAATCTCTGGCACACAACTGAAAAATGAATGTGAAATCCCAGCTGTCTTGGAGGTGGTAGGACTTCAAAGGCTAGCCTTAAAAGCCATCTGAACATGTAGGGATGTGACAACTGGTTAAAAAAAAAAGAAGAGCTAGATTCTATGACACTAGTTCGTAGGCTAAATTATAAGAGAGTGGTTATAGAGTCTTACAGAGCCATCAGATTGTACAGCTGGTGCACATAATTTACCTCGTACGCTGGTTTGCAACCTGACAAGAGGAGCGCCAGAGAGTTTAAGGTCTCAAGTTTTGCCCCGTTCAGTCAGCCGCCTTCCTTAACATCTGCTTTACTGCAAGAATAACAGGAAGAGAAAGCTTTTTACATCACAAAACCAAGTTAAATAACAAAGTAGTTACACTTGAAAGGATGTCAGGTACTCCTTCCTAGAGGAGAAGTCCTGTAAGGGCTGTCAGCACTGTTCTTCAGTGAGTGCCTTGAACCGAAGGTGGACCTGCCAGCTGCCAAACAGCCCCCTCAGCTCGGACTAAAGCCCTGCCTCAGTATTGACCAAAAAATTAAAAAGCCTGTACTACCACTGTACCATTTGTTGTGGGCTTTTTATGGAAGTTTTCCTTTCATGTATGGACTAAGCAGCACGCTCTTTAAAAAAAAAACAGCAAGACCTAGTGGATTTGTGGCCTGAGGACACCATGTCTGCAGGACTATGCTGAGCACCTTTGCCTTGCTATCAGGCATGTTGCATATGAACAGTACTAGTATCAGCAGTGTGTTTAAAACTTTAAAAAACTTAGGTCAGATCTCTGGGCCTTGTAGTAGTTGAAATCTTTAATTACTAAAGCATTTGATAATCTGTTTAGGAATATGGGTGCCTTAACCAGACCAAGTACTGTAAAAATCAAGTTTCTTACTATTTTTGTAACAATTAGACCAGTCAAGTACAACTATTTACAGGCACGCTAAAAATTCTTTCTGTATGTGTCAGCCTTGGTATGTGAGGAACATGAAGAGCAGGAATTGCTCCTGAAGTTAACATGCCTCTCTTACCTGCACTTGTGTACTCTATGTCAAGCTAAGTATAAATATACTGTATGTATATTTATCATCAGTAGAGTTATCGACCCATCAGTAAACAAATTTGTTAGACCAGGAGGGCCTATCTTTTGTTGTGCTTTCCTTCTGAAATATAAACATTTCTTAATTTTGTTCTTCCTAGCTCTGCTTTGTGATGTTTTGGACGCCAAATGTGTCAGAGAAGATTTTAGTTGACATAATTGGAGTAGACTTCGCTTTTGCAGAGCTGTGTGTTGTTCCTTTGCGCATCTTCTCCTTCTTTCCACTTCCAGGTAAAAAACAAGAAAATAAAAACTCTGTAACCTCAAAACCAAACCAACTGTGAGGCATGGTCATAGAGTCTGGCATGGCTGTACGCACAAGAGTGGCTAAATGCACGCCTAGCATAAGTAACACATTTTTTATTGAAGCTGGTGTAGACCAAGACTATTTACATCGACGTCGAGAGACAAATGTTGCTGCAGTAAGAGCAGTCTGTCAATAGACAGATTTCTGGCTGTCAAAAGTAAAGCCTGAAATCTGTCTGTTATAGTTGACCAACACACACCCATGAATGGCAGTAGCGATACACGTGTGCCAGGACTGGCGTTAACTATTTGGAATAGCATCTAGGACCACCTCCACAGTAACATCACCTGCATTAGCCTCCCCTTCTGCTGCCAGACTTAGTGGCTCTTTCACATATCTTCAGGGTACAAACAACATAGAATAAAAGATTGTGCCCCTGTTCAAGAGAGAGACAAGCTTGACAGCAATAATCAAAATGTTTCCCCTCAAAAAATTTCTACCTTCTATAATTAAATGCTACATCATGTAGTGTTTTCTGCTTATATGACAAGACAGTTTTGTAATAAAGTTTAACTACAAATACAAGAATAGGTACATGCAGATATCTTTTTGCACCACACCAGAGTTAGATGGAACATCTTCCTTGGTATGATTTCTGTTTAGGGAAGGGGATAGGTTTTTTTTAATGAAGAAAACAGAATGGACAATCTAATACATTGGTTGTAAGAAAGCAGCTCTTAGGAAAGATTGCTCTCCATCACTAGCTTTATGTTGGTTTTTTTATTATTCCAAAAGTCAGTATATTACAGAAATTTGGTTATAGTATCTACTTCATTTCTAGTAGGGTTTCCCAGTGTGCAAAGTTACCAGAAACGAGTTTCACCATGGTTATTTCTGAACAGTGCTCTCTGCATGAAAAAACTTCATATGAGATGACTGACTTTCTTTTTACTACTCTTGCCTCCCTTTCTCCCCATCCCTTCCCCTTCCCCTGTTTATTAACAGTGACTGTCCGAGCACACTTGACTGGTTGGCTGATGACTCTGAAGAAGACATTTGTGTTGGCACCCAGCTCAGTGCTGCGGATTATCGTCCTCATCACTAGTCTCATTGTGCTGCCTTACTTGGGGTAAATCATTGTTCTCCACAGACCTGAGGAGTTTGCTTTCCTCTTTATTCCTCTTCCCTGTCACTTGATAGCTGAATTTGCATAGCTCAGAACATTTTCCCCAAATACTAACCATAATATAAAGCCTGAATATTGTCAATATCTGGAAATTAAACATTTACAAAGTTACAAGTGTGACTGCTCTAGGCAGGCATGATAGTGATGTTCCTTTTGAAAAAAATATGCAAATGTCAAAGAGGCAAAAACATGTCCAAAGGGGAATTTATTTCCACGTTATTAAATGCACTGTTAAGAAAGCTAATGGAAGAATACATCTTGTTTATAAGTTACATAATCTATTCTACAGCACTCTGTACAAGACTTTAAAGTCTTAGGCCACAATTTGATTCAGAATGTGGTTCCTTTACTAAACAGTGAAGCCATTAAGAAACAAAAAAGTCCTTTGAAATACCAGTTATTTTCTTTGCCAATGTATTATGTCTTTGAAGGAGACATTTCTAACAACAGATTGATTATATATGCCAGTGAAAATATAATTATGAATCATGCATTCTCACACAACCATGACTACTTTCTTTTTATGCCACCCACAGAGTTCATGGAGCCACTCTTGGAGTAGGATCCCTTTTAGCTGGTTTTGTAGGAGAATCCACCATGGTTGCAATAGCAGCCTGTTACGTCTATCGGAAACAGGTAAGAATTTCTGTGGGATCTGGTGAAAGCAGTTGATGAATATAGTGTATTTGAGTTCAGATTAAGAGTACGCTTTTGAAATGTAATTCCCCAGCATCCACACTTGCTGCATTTGGTTTGCTTCCCTGTGCAGTATCAAGCGTGTGCAACTTGGGAATCCTTCAGGTTGAAATAAAACCAAAAGGTGCCCTCCAGCTGCTGGTGGGCATTCAGGCCATGGGACCAGGCCATGGAACCAGGCCATGGGACACACTGATCTGGAGAAAACCTCGTGCTCCTCAGAACACATATATCATGGATATCATGTCCTTATCACCACCTATTTTGCACTGCAGATCTGCTACTACAGTACAACGTAGCTTCTTTATGTAGACATAGGAACTACTAGTCTAAGCTTATTGTATGTATATGTACACGTGTGTGTATATATATGTATACTTTTATTTCCTTATAACACCAGCTCTGCTGAAAATGGACAAAAAGTACAGTTGCTTATTTTTTTTGCCATCTAAAGAAGCAGCTTAAAACAAGATATACTCCTGCGGTAGTAAAGGATAAGAGCTTGCAAATACTTAAACCTTAAATCCTTAAGGTGAGGATTTCTCATAGGCATACTTTTACATATAGGCATATACTTGTACATAGGCATACTTTTACATTTCAGACACGACAGTCCTGCATGTACAGAGTAGTGTGTTACATGGATTTCAAAGAATATTCAAAGAATATTCCACTAAATGAGGTCAAACGTAGGATAAATATTGGCCTGGTGACTGAGTATGTCGCAGTACCTGCATGTTGCGTCCCTCCAGTTGTGTGTTCAAGGCACTGTGTAGGGCACCAGGCCCAACTCCAAGCAGAAATAGCATGGTGTGTACATCATTCCATAATGCAGGACTCTTCCATGCAATTGCTTTCTTTTTTTTTAATTAGGCTTCTTACTAAGGGCCAAGTGAAGATACCCACCATTTCTATTCTTAGCAAAAAAATATGGAAGGTGGAATATCTAAAAGCCTTATGCTGGAACAAACTAAAATCAGTTTTGATATGTATTAACAATGCAGGCCATGGCAATAGACCAAAGTGTACAAGGTTTGAAAGAAAATAGACCTATAATAAAACCTGTAGACACTGAAATGGCTGTTCTTGGCCTGTGGTTTCACGACATGTGTCTTTTTGGACTAACCTCCTCATTGCTCGTTTGTTACAGTAGTAGCCCGTAGAGTGTTTCTGGCCAGGGACATGGTGCTTAATTTTTCGCAGTGATGAGTGCAGGTAGTAGCAATAATAACTGTGCCAACCTAATTTATTCCCGTACCAGAATTATTACGTAGCTGACACATCGTCTAAGCAGCCAATGTGACAGTGGCAGAGCCAACCAGTAGTTGTATACACCAACTTGTTTTTACCTACAGTGGTAATAAGT